GGGGGGGTGACCACACAAGCTTTGCTCTTGGGCAGCAGTCCCAAATGTGGTAGAACATGGCTTTTAAACACTCCCATAAGACACAAATAACAAATCCTGTTCAGAGGCCCGGCTTCGTCCTGGTTTTGTCCGTGACTGCCAGCAGGGGCTGGGGGCATTTCGTGAGAAGCCTCCTGGCCTGACGGCCAGAGGGGAACAGCCCAGGGTAGTGCTCACGTTTTCAGGTGACCACACCATACATGTTCCATGGAAGGTGAAGTGTGGACAGGACATTAGATGAGTGTTTGTAGAGAAACACGCCTCTTTCTGTCCACGTCACAGGCCTGTCCGGGCTCCGGAGTCCTCTTCAGAGACTCTGGAAAGCTCCCCACCTGGGGCTGCTCCTTAGGGCTGGGACGTGAGCCACCTGAGGTCTCTGCTGGCCCCAGGTGCCCCTTCCACGTTTGGGAGAAAGCCACCAAACAGGCCCAGTGAAGCCGGAGTGCAAACACGGCGTCTCGGAGGCCAGGGGAGAGGACTGAGGGGCGGGGCTGTGGGCCCTCCGAGCTCTGGAGCCTTCCCGGGTGGCCTTCGGACTTTGCACCTCGTGGGGGAGTTACCCCGTCAAGCTCATCAGCTGAAAGAAACTCGAGAACGTATCGGCCGGTCTTGCTTTTTGTATTTCATAAAAAGAAATGTCACGCATTAAAGTATAAGCCGCTCAGAAAAGCCCACCCAACAATGTTCGGTGTCCCCAGACCGATGCTCAGAGCGGGGAACAGAAGCCCAGTTCCGAAACCGTCGTGCTGGGTGTCTGGGTGACACATGGGAAGCGTAGGACAGGCACGCACCTGCCTCCGTGCCGGGCTTACTTGTGCCTGTCTCCGTGTCTCTCACGCAGGTGCACATGGGCACACACATGTGGAACAACGCCCCCGCGAGGCGTGGCCGCCGCCTGTCAGTGGAAAACCCCATGGCTCTGCTAGGTGGCGACGCTCTGAAGTTTTCGGAAATGTTCCAGAAGGATCTGGCAGCACGAGCGATGAACGTTGACCCCAGCTTCTGGAACCAGTATGCCGCGGCTATCACAAACGGTCTCGCCATGAAGAACAACGAGATCTCTGTCATCCAGAATGGCGGCATTCCCCAGCTCCCAGTAAGTCTCGGCGGGAGTGCTATCCCCCCCCTGGGTTCCCTGACCGCTGGGATGGACAAAGCGCGCACCGGCGGTAGTCCGCCCATTGTGAGTTTGGACAAAGCAAACTCGGAAACGGGAGCCAGCCGTCCGTTCACGAGGTTTATCGAGGATAACAAGGAGATCGGTATTAATTAGCTGTGCGCGCGGCCTGGCCCGTCCCTCCGTCCCACGCGCACACCGTCCAGCGCGACCGTCAGGCTGTGCAGCCGTGCGGCCGAGTTCTCCTTAAAATTTTACCCGTAGTAGAAAACGCGTTCACTGTGTGGCTGCTGGAAGGTTGTCTCGTAAGCTCTGCATGGTACTTCTTTCCACGGTGAGCTGGACTGTTCTTGGGGACCCTGTAACCTCCTAAATACGTTTAAGTCAAAAAGAAGTCCTTGTAAAACCGCCTTGGGAATGGAAAGGGCTCACACCACACCCGGTTGGTTCCTCCCCGAACCTAATACCGTCCCCCTCCCCCCCCCACCAGAGGAGAAAGGGGTCGCCTGTGCTGTTCCAGCGACACTCACTCGAAGGTTTTGTTCGAATTAGTTAGAAACTTGAACTCTGTTTTTAGACTATTAACTGAAAGATGTGGTCCGGTACCCCCAGCGCTGTGTCTTACGACAGTACCTTTGTCTGTAGTATTTATAATGTTAAGATTATGCGGGTAACAGATAATACAGCCCCAACTTTAAAGGAAGCTTTTGTACTGCAGAATACATCTGGCCATGTGATGATTTTTTTTTTTAAAGCAGAATTTGTTTTACTATAAATAAGTGAGTTATTTCAATGCAGGCAAATCGTGAAGTTACACTGGGAAAGACGGCATGCTCTCGTGTGCAAGTACCTGTCAGTGACCACGCTTTTCTTCTGTTTCTTTCTTTCTTTTTTTTTTTTTTAACTTAAATGTTTGTAGCTGCTATGTGGACAATTGTTCCCTAGTGTGGTCTGTAGCCCAGCGACTGGGAACAAGTTACAGACAAACGTCACCGTAAATTATTCACAACATTATAAGCAGTTGTGAGGAAATATTTCACGTTATCAAAGCTGTACAATAAAAAGGTAATGTTTGTATAATGTGGTTGCAAACTCTTAATTTATACTATTGCACTTTTAGTATTTTGTATTAGAGAGGTTTGTCTATAATTTGAAAACTTAAAAAGATGTAAAGTATTTTATAAATAGTACTTTGGTTTAAGGAAAATGAAAAACTGTTACAGTTTCTTGTTTTGTCTTAAGGTCAAACAACATGAGAAATCTGTGCCACTGAGACAGAAAAGCCACCAGGATTTGTCTGTTCCTCAGTCAACTAGGGCCTGCCACTTCCTCAATTAAAATGATTTATTTAACTTTTCTACGAAGCCCGTTGAAAAGCCTGACCACCCCTGACACAGCTTTGATGAATTAATCATAGGCCCGTGGCACCGAAACGGCGGGAACTCACCTAGAGACCGCGTGGGTGCCATTTCAGTGTCCTCTCTTTTCCTCACACGCCCCGGACCAGATTTCCACCGCTCCCCGTGTGCAGTAAAGTGGGGAGAGATAGCAGAGGTCTGGCGGTGTCATCAGTGGTAACTGGGACCTTGTCTGAGTCCCGATTTATTTATTATCTTCTCAGATGAGAACAAAGCACAATGTCATCTAACTACTCAATCCAGCCTGAAGCTGCTGACGAGGTTTGAGTTGCTTGGCGCGAGGCAGGGCCCCGGGGCAGGGGGGGTGCTGGGCGGCGGGCGGGGTGGGCACCTGCGTCGCCGCGGCCCGCCTTCTACCTCATTCTGTGCGTTGGGCGGCCTGTCCGGCCGCGTCCCTCCCGAGATGTCGCGGGCGGCTGGGTGGCGCTGGGGTCGTGCGCCCCGAAGAAGGGACCGGATGGCAGTGACTTCCCGGCTAACGTGGAGAAGTAGGACGATGTTCCCAGCACGACAACAGCCATAGAGTCAGGTCGTGACCTTGAACAGAAACAGGTGCGAAGACTCCTCATCAGCAGACTGAGCTGTTTCTTCCTGTCGGATGGAGCATGGTCCCCCCCCTACCCCCGCTCAGCTCTGCTTCCCTCGGCCAGAGGGGCCATCCCTTCTCGGGAGACGGGGCGGGGGCCTCGGCCCGGCCACGTGGCACTACTGGCCTTCAGCGGTTGAATGTTTTTATTATTTATGTGTCCTCTTTGGTGTGAGTTTTGGGTTTTGGTTTTGGTTAGTAGTTGGTACCGTGTGATGCTCTCTCTTCTCCCAGAAGGATGTGTATATAACTTAAGGGAAAAGAAATGTAAAGTGTTGTAAATAAGATGGCTTGTGAAGGGACCGCGAGACGCGCCCCTGCGTCTTCAGGACCAGGCCGTCCCTCTCTGCGTGGTGAAGAGAGACACTATTTTTCTATTGCAGCACCATGTAGGGCCGGGGCCCCGGAGCCAGCCGGCGCTCTTACCAAGATCCAATATTTTTTATGATAAACCTGTGGCTCGACACATCTACTGATTGAAATGGATGTCTTAGTCTAGGTGACTATTTTTGTCATATGGAAATGAATAAAATGCAGGATGTAATCTTATCTCTGAATCGCGTTCCTTGATTATTCAAATGGAAAAAAGTGGGACTTGGGGTTACGGTCGTTAATGGTGGATGTATATCCGTGGTGTTTCTCCGAGGAAAGTCAACGAGGATTGACAGCTTAGATTTGAGCAATAGCTAAATGTATCTCAACTGGTCTTGAAATTTTTATTTTTCACTTTTTTCTAAAATAAAAATGCAACCTCCTAATTGTGGATTTTTTTTTACATCTGTGACGGAAGACGATGTGGTAGAAAACGCCTACCCGTTAGAGCCTTGGCGGTGGCCACAAATGACTACCCTCCCAACTGCCTTCCCATCCTCAACGCTGAGTGCCAGTGTTGGCTCTTGGGATCGCTTCACAAATACGCGGCTGTGCATCGAACCACGTTGTAGGCGCGGGAAGGAAGGGGTGCGCGGTTCACGACACTGTGTGTCCACCACCAGCACCTTCGTCCGTTAGCTCCCGAGGGAGGATGTCTTTACCATAAAGGAAGCTTTACCTCCCCGGTAACATTTGAGAAGACGTAAAACTTTAAATAATTTAACAGCTCCTGGTTTCAACAGGCATGATGCATTTCTTTTTTCGATAACTACTGATAGCTAGAAATAGTTTTTGCCTGGGAGGTGGGGGGTCCTTGCAAAGCACGGGTGAGGACCCTAACCACCGAACTAACTGCCCAGGTCAGCCTCCCCAGCACAAAACCCTCCACCTTAGGGATGGACCCAGGCTGGTTTCAGTGCTGGGGTGGAAATTTTGAAACATGAGCCAAGTCAGACAGTAAATTCAGTTTGTGTTTTAAAATGGTGAAATAAAGGTTCCTGTATTTAAAATAATATAAATTACAATGCAGGGAAAACGTGATCTGCTTATTTTGAAAACATTTCTAGTGTAAAGCCAGGGGCGTTTCAGCTTAACAAGCCCGGGTTTTCGCTTGCTCCTGACGTCAGCTCCACGTGGCGCAGACCGCGCCTCAACCGTAAATGCCAACGACCCCTGAGAATTATTTATTTAAATATATTCCTATTCTGGGTTCATTACGGGAACCAGTAACGTTTCAAACTAATTAAAAAGTATTGCTGAAGGGCTAAAAAGCAATTGTTTCTAAACTCTGCGCTGTTTAATTTTATCCCCTCGGAAGCGAGAAGGCCGTGGCCCCCGCCTGCTGTTGCTTTGTGCGTGGCCGCCGCGGCCGGGCCCCGACCCCAGCTTCCCGAGGCCCCGACACACGTCAGGCCTATCTCCTCACTACCGGGCCGCGTGCGCATCCCCAGCCCGACCATCTCCGGGTCGCCGTGTTTGTTGGCTGCCTGTCTGATGCCACGGAAGCCCGGAGGCCTCGCGGCTTTCCTCTGGTGCACGCTTGGAGCAGCGTGATCGTGTCACATACGTGCAGCCCCGTGGCCAGCCTGTCACCTGGCGAGCATGCCGGGCCTTTTGTGTTAAAATCCTGAGCCGGTTTGCTGATGACTGGTGCCGAGGTGGGAGCGGGCACTCGTTTCTTCCTCTGAAAGGCCTTCCCGCCGCTGCGCCTCGTGGAGAAACGCGCCCCGAGACGGTTCCGTTTAGCGGGTCGGTTGGCTGACTTCGGTCTACGGAACGTCCTGTACAAAGCGAGGGAGAACGTTAAATTACCCTTGTTGTTTTCGCCTCACTGGGAAGTACTGGCGTTACTTGAGCGTCCTTCCCGCAGGGAGGACGTTAAAATGCAACCGCCAGGCACGGTTCCCGTGGTGGCGCTCACACCTTTGTCCCCAGCTGACAGGCGTGTGGCGTGTTGGCGCACCGGGCGGGGCCATGGCGAAGGGCACGGGGGCACCGGGCTGGGCCGACCCTCACACCCTGCTCCCTTTTCTGTACGCAGGGTAGAATTTGGTGGCATTAAAACCCTCTCCAGTTGTAAAATCAGGGTGGTTGGTTTGTCGTCGTTTGGAAAGAACTACCACTAATGTTTAGCTTCCTTTTTCCTCCCCAAATTCACTAGGCAAGTCTACGGTGTTTAGAGAGAGAGAAGATACAAATGATTACCTGAGAACATAAATATGAAAACTCTACTATAAACGACTTTGCTAAAGAAAATCCGTGGAATCATTTGTGGACCATGAAAAAATGTGTTGTTTCTCTATTTTAACTCGTGGAATTTATTGAAGCTTTTTAAACTGCAACTATATTTAAGGTAAAATAAAGGCAAGCTCTGTGAACATCGTGATTACTACGTTTCCTACGAAGAGAGTCTTTTCTAAATGATTAGCTTTTTGTCACATGTGTTGCCCACGCAGGTGCGCATACGGTTCCTCGTCAAGATTATATACGGATACACATACCGTATACACGTATACCGTGTGCGTATACACGTATTCAAAAGAGTATGCCGTTGAAAGCAATGCTTGTTTCTTAACGCTTGTTTCTAGTACAATATCAGAGAACGTGAACTATTCCCTTGGGTTTCCCTGTCCTAATTGTAACCATGTCTGCAGGGTTTGGTCTGACTTGGGAGTCGTCACAGGTTGTATTGACACGGCTCCGTTTGTGGGTCCTCTGCTCATGACTGAGTTCAGTGTTTGCCCGAGCGCTGGGTTACAGGGGGAGGAGAACCAGAACAT